ATATTTTAACAAAAAGGGCTAATTAAAAAAAACACTAAATGGCTGAAAGCCAATTAGTGGGAATAAATCGTGATAAATGTTATTTATTAAAATTGGATTTGGATTTAAATTGTTAAAGATAAATTTCAATTTCTTTTTTGATAACACAAAATATGTTGAAGATTGAATCATAGTCAATCAAAAACTCTCCTAAATGTCCCATATAAATAGACTTACGAATTAAACATATAATGAACACAAGAACAAAAATCATAGCATTCCACAACAATCACAAGCAATCAAAGAAAGCAACCATTAGCAGGAAAAATCAACTTCAGTTTTGTGCTTCAGAAATTGAGTTCCCATCAGTAGAAAAGAATAGTTTCATTCCCAGATCTAGCTTAATCTTTCAACCCAAGACACCAAACAGAAACCACGCTCTTAGGATCCAAGTTACTATGATTATGAAAAAGGCATTGGATTGTTTTGCTCATAGAGAAGATAAAGAAGGCGTGAAAAAATAAGAAATGCAAGAGATTGGACAAGACAGCAACTTAACTAAAGGGGCTTTATTCTAGATGTCATGTGCTTAAGGTCTAGGTTTGTTTCTTTACTTTCCGTTCTTTTTTATGATTTTTATTCATTTATTAGTTCACTTTATTTTGTGCATCAGTCTAAGAAAAGTGCTAATGAGAAATATGAATACAATAAAAAAAACTAAAATATGTTCCTAACAAAATAATTTTGTATTAAGTTCAATCGGTTTTAAAGTTAAAATTTTTTTACTTATTAATTTTAGGTGAACTTAATATTAAATAAAACTTTTCTTCGAATGGAATTAAAAATGAACAAGAATATTAAATAAAACTTTTCTTCAAATGGAATTAAAAATATAGATGAATTCGACGATGGAGTCTCTTCAAAGCATGACAAATAGTTTCATTGAATACTCATGAAGTAAGAGGATATTTTAAAATTATTACCAACATATTATAGTAATTTTAAGATAATTTCCAATAATTAATTATTTGATAAAATTTTAAGGTTTTGGATAACACAAGATCAAACTAGTATCATTCTTTGGATGGACGTTATGAGGGTGCTATAACTTTTCTCACATGTAATCATATTCTCGGACCTAGTTCTAGTTTCTTAAACTAAAATTTACCTTTTAAAGATACCCTGATCAAGTTTGAAATTTCTCTTTAAAATAAAATAGATTCAGTTAGATAACCAATCACACCTAAACAAAAAAAAAAAAGATTGGTGGTGACTCCTTAAATTAATAACAATGATAAATTTACGGATCTATATGTTATGATATTTAGATATTTCCATGTTAAATAATAAACATTCAATTGATAATTTGCTACTTAAAAGTGTGCCTATGAAAACCTAATAAAATTTATGTCACGAGAAAAATAAAGAAGCATTGGAAGCGTGAGTTGATCTGTGTTAAGCATTGGTAACCTTTCAGCAGTTTTCTAGGAGTTTTAGATGAAAGCCTCTAGAAAATAAACCTTCTTTCATAGTTTTATCAAGGCCCAAGACTCATAGTTTTACGCATGGCTTTGGCTTTTCTCTCTAGCTTGGTCTAAACTTGAGTTGTTGATTTCATGTTTGCAAGAAAATATTATGGCTATGACATGTTAATTTCAACTTATTCTATGCTTGATTAATTTTTCTTTCTTCCTCCATGTAGTTGAAATTGAATATGTATTTGTTGAACTGTCGAGCACCTGGATAAACAATGATTTCATATCAAGATGGAAAACTTTATTTGTTTGGTTTTAAAGAGACAAAATTTATTTTGTTTTAGAGAGAGAAAATAAATTGACGATGAAAAAAAAAAAAAACAAAACAAATAAAAAGAAATGAAAAAAGTAATGATTTTGGATTTAAAAAATCATAAAGTAACTAAGTGTTACTTTTTAAATCTCAGAAATTATTTTCATTCCGTTTTAAATCATAGAGTATTTTATATGTAATTTACCCTTAAATTTAATACAAGACTGTAGACATCAAATTTTTATTTTTATTAAATAATAAATAAGATAATAATATTATTATTAAATACAATAATAAAAATTAAACAAAAAAAATAAAAATACAAAAAAATAAAAAAAGAGAAGAATGGTGGCATTGGTGCCTGGCACGGCACCGCTGGCCACTTTACCCTACCACCCATACCTTGTTCACCACTGCCACCCCCTGTTTACTACCCTCGCCTAAGCTCCTAACTATCATGCCCTACTACTGTCAGATAAGACAAAAAAAAATAAAAGTAGCATGTGAGTCGTGCTTGCACCCTTATACCGAGTCCTGTGCCACTCCTTCTGTCGGAGCTCTATAAATACAGCTCCTGGTCAAACCCAAAAGCAAGATGAAAAAAATAGAGCAAAGGGAAACCCTGTAAAAAATAGAAAAAGATTTCTGCCAGAAAAACACAAAAAAATACACAAAAAATAACTTATTCCCCTGGAATGGGGAACCCAACATCGAAAATTCCAGCACAAAGAAAAAATAAAGTCAGTTTAAAAAAAAAGTTTGACCGAAACTTTAAGAGCAGATTTGGAGAATTTGGGACTCTTTTTGGTGAAAAAGGAGGTTGGATCTATGTTCAGTCGGTTAGAAGGAGTTTACGGGTATTTTTTGAAATTTTTCGACACCGACGACGGCAGTCGAAGCTCGTCGTCGATAAAGACCACGTCGATCGTCACAGCGGACAACCACCGATCCCAGATCAGTTTAAAAAAAAAAAGAAAGGGAGTTTTTTTTCGGGTAGAGGGGGGGGAAATGAAATAAAAAAAATTGACTTTTATAAAGTTGCCAATAACCAAAATGACGTCATTTCATTTAAATGCAAAAACGACGTCGTTTTAAGTCTAAGGATTTGCGCGTCAACCAGCCGACCTGATCTGGGGTCCACGCAACCGACCCGACAACTCGACTCACCTTTTAGCCCTGATCGATTTGGCTGAACCGGTACTGAACTACTGAACTTGATCCAAATCGACCTCGAACCGTTGAATCGACAAACCCCACCGAACCACCAAACCTATTGAACTCACGTTGATGAACCGTTGACTGATCCTATTCAGATAAAAAAAAATTTTAAATTTTTTTTTAATTTTTATATATTATTTTATTAATATTTATACATATTAAAATATTTTTATTTGTTAATTTAAATTATGAAATATATAGTTAAATTTTTTTTCTTCTCTAATTTTGTTAATTTTAAAATAAACTTAAAAATAAAAAAAAATAAAGATAAACTTTATAATAATAATACAAAGTTAATAAAAAATGTAAGAAAAGAAAATTTTTACCCGATTATGAGAATCAAATGTACTTCAAGTAGCGATACTTATGAAATCTCTAGGTGAGAAAATTTTTTAAATACTATCAGCGTATTGGAGTATTTATAAAAATTTTCAATACAATAAAAAATTTTTGTTTTAAAATAATTAATAAATTAATAAATTAAATAATAAAAAAATGAGAAAAAAAATTTATCCGATGATGGGATTCTAAAAATATTTCGAGAAGAGATGCTTTAAGAAATCTCTAGGTGAGAAGATTTTTTTTAAATATTACCAGAGTATTTGAGATATTTATAGAAAATCTTCAATATAGTAAAATTTTTTTTTTTCATTTTTTTATAATAATAAGTATTAATTAAAATTAATAAAAATTTTTAAAAAAAAATAAAATGTGTGCATCAACATGATAACATTTTATATTGCATGCATGACATAATTTTTACGAAAAGTAAATTTAGACCTTTGAAGATGGGATTCTAAGGTATTCTGAGAACTAATACCTAAAAAATCTCTAGGTGAGAAAAAGTTCTTCTAATGTTACCAACGTACTGGAACATTTTAAGAATTATTTCAATAAAAAGATTCAAATTTATTTTTCTAGAATAATTTTTTTTAAATTAAAAAAAATTAAAAACCAATTTTCAATAAATGAAAAAATCAAGAAAATTATTTTTCAAACACCGAAAATGGGATTTTTTTTTATCAAAATCAAAGGATAATACGTTGTTAATTGATACCATTTTAAACGGGCCCTATGAGGGTGCTAATCCTTCCCTACGCATAATCGACTCCCGAACCAGACTGTTACGCAGACCCTAAAATTATCCTTTTAATAAATTTTAATTAATTTTAAGATTTTATTAAAATGATATATTTTAATCGGTAGCCAATCGCACTTAAACAAAAAAGAATGAGGGCGACTTCATTTTTTTTTTTCGTTACTAAATTCGTTGAGTGACTCCAAAACCATTACGACAGCTTAAACAAAGACTATTAGCCACATGTTAAAATAGATTTTTTTAAAAACAAAATCAATTATATGAATTATGAAAGCGTTGTTTTTGAATTCTATGTTATGCCGATCCAATAAAAATATTGGCATTAAAGTATAAATTAATTTTATAGTATGATTTATTAGACAAAAAATAATTAAGTTTTTGATGATTAATTAACTTTTATAGTATGATTTATCAAAGATGAAAAAAATTAATTTTATGATATGATTTATGATAGCCAATAGTAGCCTAATATGTTGATAAAATATTAAACTTTTAAATTTAATGATTTAGAATCAAAATAATCTCATATAGAAAAAAAAATCATTACATTAAAAAACAAAATACACTTTTTTATACAAAGAAAATTCATATATGAGAAGTTGATAGAATTTGCAAGTATTAAAATTTAAATTTTAGATTTATTAAATATTATTTTTTAAATATAATTATATGAACTAATTAAAATAAATTTGGGATAAAATAAAATTTTTACTGTAATTAATTCCAGCATTTTTCACATGCCTATGGGCCTTGTAAACAAAATCTACTAAAATATTGGGTCCACACCTGAAAAAAAAAAACTTAGGGGCCACGAAACAATACAAATTCAAGCGTTTTTATCGATTCTTCCTATGAAACGATATTTACTAAAACTTTGGGCCCATGCCTACAAAAAAAAAAACTTTGGGGCCACAAAACAAGTTTTTTTCGATTCTATTCTTCTGCGTTATATAGTGACGATAAACATTCTACTGACAATTTCAAGGCGTTTCTTCTTTACGCTTCAAAGCCATAATGACTTCTTCAGTCCCCCAACTTGTCGGCCCGCCGGCGATGTTGTTGGGTGAACCACCTTTCAACCTCTCCTTCACCACCACTATCAACTCCGCTCTGGAATCTCTAACAACCCAAGACGTGGACTTAAGCCTCACAGGAGAACCACCGAGGGGCAGAACGGAAAATTTCTCTCCAACTTTTCTTTCATCTGGTAACCCCTGTTTGGACTTTTTCTTCCACGTGGTTCCTGATACGCCATCTGATCAGTTAATCCAACGACTGGAATTTGCTTGGGCCCATGACTCTTTAACTGCTCTTAAATTGATTTGTAATCTCAGGGGTGTAAGAGGGACGGGCAAATCTGATAAAGAAGGGTTTTATACTGCAGCGATTTGGCTTTTTAGTAAGCATCCCAAAACCCTTGCTTTTAATCTTAGGGCTATTGCGGAATTTGGGTATTTTAAGGATTTTCCAGAGATTCTTTATCGGATTCTGGAAGGACCCGAATCGAGAAAGATCCAGAAAGAAGAATGGAAAGATAGAAAAAGAGAAGGGAAAAGGTTTTCTAGGAAAATGAATAATTCGGGAAAATTTAAGCAAGAAAGTGATGGTAAAATAGAGTTGTCGGATAAGGAAATTGATGGGGTTTTAGAAAATGTGGAGGAAATGGGTAGTGGAATTGACAAAGAGAAAGCTAGGATTTTGAGGAAAGAGAGGGAGAAAGTGAAAGCGAAAAAGGCTTTAGATAAGTACAATTCTGATTCTAGTTATAGGTTTTTGTTTGACTGTGTTGCTGAATTGTTTGCTGACTACTTGAAATCTGATATTAAGTATTTGAATGATGGGAAATTGTTTGATATAAGTTTAGCTGCGAAATGGTGTCCTTCGATTGATTCATCTTATGATAAGGCTACTTTGATATGTGAGGGGATCGCACGGAGAGTTTTCCCTCGTGATAGTGAGAAAGAGTATGAGGGTTTGGAGGAAGGGCATTATGCATATAGGGTTAGGGATAGATTGAGGAAACAAGTGCTTGTTCCATTGCATAAGGCACTTGAGTTGCCAGAGGTTTACATGAGTGCAAATGCATGGAACTCGCTTCCTTACAATAGGGTGGCCTCTGTGGCAATGAAGACTTACAAGGAGTTGTTTGCGAAGCATGATAATGAAAGGTTTCAGGAGTATCTTGAGAATGTGAAGACTGGGAAGGCGAAGATTGCTGCAGGAGCATTGCTTCCCCATGAAATAATTGGGTCATTGAATGATAAAGATGGTGGGGAAGTTGCTGAGCTGCAGTGGTCTAGAATGGTAGGAGATCTTGCTAAGAAGGGGAAGCTGACAAATTGTATTGCAGTTTGTGATGTTTCTGGGAGTATGTCAGGGATACCAATGGAGGTTTCTGTGGCACTTGGTTTGTTGGTTTCTGAGCTCAGTGAGGAGCCATGGAAGGGAAAAGTGATTACTTTTAGTGAGAATCCAGAGCTTCACTTGATTGAAGGAGATACTCTTAAAGCCAAGACTCAGTTTGTGAGGAACATGGAGTGGGGTGGTAATACAGATTTTCAGAAAGTTTTTGATCAAATATTAGCAGTTGCAGTGGAAGGAAAGCTCAGTGAAGAGCAGCTTATAAAGAGGATATTTGTTTTTAGTGATATGGAATTTGATGAAGCCAACCGTTGTAAATATTTGGAGCACTTGTATAGTAGTGTTAACAATGCTGAAGATGGAGAGAATTTTGAGAATTGGGAGAAGTCTTGGAAGAAAAGGGTGGAGCTTCTTAAGGAGTGGGAGCAGAATCGAAAGGCCATGATGCAAAAGGAGTGGGAGACAGATTATGAAGTTATACAGAGGAAGTATCGTGAATGTGGGTACAATAGGGTGCCAGAGATTATATTTTGGAACCTGCGAAACTCATCTTCCACTCCAGTGGTTGCTAAGCAGAACGGAGTGGCAATGGTGAGTGGTTTTTCAAAGAATATACTGACTTTGTTCTTGGATGAAGGTGGGATTGTGAACCCTGAGCAGGTCATGGAATTTGCCATAAGAGGTGAAGAATACAAGAAACTTGCTGTTTATGATTGACGTGTAAAAGTTCTTGTCAATTGTGGCATGGATTATGAATAGTTGTTCTTTCTATTAAAATTACTGGTGAAATCTAATACAGACAAAGGTTTTGAATAATTAATTTTTGTTTGTTTTTAAAACAGTGCTGATTTAGTTTATCCAAGGTTTTGTTGTCCTGGTTATTTACTATTCATTTTAACGATTGACAGATTGAGGCTGCTGCTGTTTGACTAGTAGTAGTTTTAAAATAAAGCATTGCTCCTTCTCTATGTTATTGAAGTCAAATTGTCAAAACATTTTTTAGCCTTTAATGTGGAAGCCCTTAATCCTTTAATCTTATAAATGTGAAAAATATGAAGCTGAATTATACATTTTCTTGATCAGTTTAGAAAATCGAGCTGAAGTGAGATTAATGATGGCAAACCGGCTTTGATAATTGCTTGTTCAGTATATAAAATCAAACTCAAATTCGTCTGTGAATCCAAAATATCTGTTCCAAGGTGCCATTCAGCTCTGCCTTTGGCTTCCAAATAGTAGAAGAAGAAACCATATCAAAACAAAAGAAACCCTGCCAAACCCAAACGTTCTTCCTCAAGATATCAGAGGAGATATTTTTTTTAATTTTTTTGAAAAATTTTTAAATATTTTTAAATTTTCTTAATAACATTTTTTTAAAAGCTGACGTAATAATAAACCTACCAATGATATGATATTTTATTATCACATATTATAATTTTATTAAATATTTATATCACATTAGTAATTTGACCAATGATATTAATTTAAAATATCAAAATGTATGACATAATTAAAATTTAAATATTTAATTACAAAATTTATTTTTTAAGTACCTGACAAAAGAGGGATAATGGAGATTTATCCTGTACTTTAACATTGAAAGCTGTACTTCCAAATCTTATTTGGAAAGGGTCTAAGGGTCAAGTGTAGCAGTGGAGATCTTCCTGGGTGCACCAACTAATCAATTTGTCCTCCCCTACTTGTTTTAAAACGGCTACACGTGGCAATGCAGTTCGAAGGAGATCCATATTCATATTTGATAGTATTATTTTACTCCGTCCATCTTAAAATTATTGCTTTTTATTTATTTTTTTATTAAACTAACTCAGATGATTATTTTAAATAAAATTAAAAAATTTTTAAAATAATATTTATAATCTTTAAGTTTCAATTTTTTAAAAATATATATTTAAAATTTTTAATTAAATATAAATTTAAAAAATTAAAATCAAAATTAAGTTATTTTGACAAAAAATAATAAAAAATAATTATTTTAAAACGAATGGAGTACTGGAAAAGTCAATACTTCCCATAGAACAAGGAAGAAGATTCTAACCCTATCGTCAAGAAATTGACCAAACTAATATGGATTTTTTTTAATGCAAAATGTTTATAATTATGTCGGTGTATATATTTTTGTGACAAAAAGTTTTGAGAAATTTTTTTTTTAAATTTCAAAGTTAGGATAGATAATAGATTTTAGAAGGGATTTATATTAAAATTATAAATCTGCTTATGAAAAAATTATTATTAATAAAATTTAAATTTAAATTTTATAAAAAAAATATTTGAAAATTTTAAATTCAATCCACCCCTATTGATAATTTGATGCATATGTTTTATACACTTTGCTTTATGAGTTTATCAAGATGTCTGTCACGTCTCTATGCTTTAATGTTACATCAACCTAATATTTAGATCAAATTATGACTATGATTTCTCTACAAATCAGTTTTGTTTTAGATTAAAAATGACTTTTAAAAAATAGTTTTTTTTTATTTTTAAATATTTTTTGACAAAAAATTGATTGGTTAACGAAAAATAATTTATTGATCAATGAAAAATAAGATTATATTTTTGAAAATTATTTTATAGATTTACAAAGGGAAGACATTTAAAAAAAAAAAACTATCCATGAGTAGAATTATTTATCAATACTTTTGAATATAATTTTGTTTATAAATAATATTATATTAATAAATAATATAAATAATAATAAATAATTTTATTTTAAGTATTTTTATATTAACATAATATTTTTAATATTAAATATTATTATTAAAATATAATTATTTTTTAATGTTAATAATTTTAATATACTTTAATAATAAATATTTTTTAATTTTTTAATAATTATATTAATATTATTTTTTAAAAAAATTAAAAATAATCAAATAAAGAAAAATATTTTTTATTAATTTATTTAAATAATAAAAATTTTCTTTCAATTTAAAAAATATAAATATTTTTTAAAATTTATTTTTGCCAAACAAGCGAAAAACACTTTAAACAACGACCATTTCAACGTAGACCAAACTATAACAAGTCGACCCATAGTCAAGTCGTTTATATTCCTGTGCAGTAGAGTATTTGAAAGCAAACCAATCAGAACTCAGTTCCAGAATATCTGTTCTTTATTCCCTTCTAGGGAGTTAGAAAAATCAGGTAAGGATTTGAATTCCGTTTAGTGAAATTAAGAATTTAACACTCCATCACATTGTTTATAGCATTTGTCATTTATATAGTGCTCAAGTAAAAAACATAGATACAAAACATTGCGATGAAAAAAAAAGCTTTGTGCGGTTTTCTCATAGCTTCTGATCAAACTTTACCACTACAGTCATGGTATCAATCATCCAGATTGTTAAACTCAAAGTTTTGTTATTTGTCATTGCTCTACTTTCCTCTTCATCTGCAGCTGTTTTGGTTTCTTTGGATACTAATGAAAATAGACAAGAACTAGAGGCTCTTCTCAAATGGAAAGACAGCCTTGACAAATCATCTTCTGCGATTCTCTCTTCCTGGGACCTTTCTCCAATCAATGCTACTTCTCCTTGTGACAGGTGGGTTGGAATCACTTGTGATAAATTTGGTACCATCCTCCATATAAACCTTACAGGTAGGAAATTAAAAGGTATGTTGCAAAATTTTAATTTCATATCTTTTCCTAACCTTCTCAGCCTGGATCTTAGTAATAATTCATTGTACGGAACCATTCCTCCCCATATCAGTAACGTCTCTAAACTATCCTATCTTGATTTGTCTGCAAACAATCTCAATGGTTTTATCCCTGAGTCTATTGGAAACTTAGCCAATTTGAACATACTTTACCTTAACATCAATCAACTTTCTGGATCAATTCCCCTCACTATTGGAAACTTGACCAAGCTCACTGGATTGCACTTGTCACTTAATCACTTATCTGGCCACATCCCTAAAGAAGTAGGAAGGATGGCATCCCTTACTGACCTGAAATTGCCCATGAACAACCTCAGCGGTCAACTTCCCGCAGAAATTAGCAACCTTACATCTATGAAGATTTTGCTAATGGGAAACAACAGATTGTCTGGCAACTTACCAGATCGTATATGCCTTGGTGGCTTACTTGAAAGACTATCTGTACATACGAACCATTTTGTTGGTCTTATCCCGAAGGACTTGAAAAACTGCAGCAGACTTTTTAGGGTTCGTTTTGAAGGGAATCAACTGATAGGAAACGTATCAGAAGATTTTGGCATATATCCAAACTTGAATTATATTGATTTGAGTTACAATAAGTTCGTTGGTGAGCTTTCGCGAAACTGGGGCTTCAGTTATTATCTGACAAGCTTCAAGATTTCCAACAATAAGATTGCTGGTTCAATACCTCCTGAGCTTGCCAAAGCAACCAACCTACAGATTCTTGACCTATCCTCAAATCAACTAGTAGGGAGGATCCCAAAGGAGCTAGGTGGCTTGGCATTGTTGTTCAATCTTGAACTGAATGACAATCAACTTTCAGGCAGTGTTCCTACAGAGCTTGGATTTCTGTCTGATTTAGCACAACTTAACCTTGCAGAAAATAGATTAAGTGGTTCAGTTCCTGCACAATTGGGACAATGTTCAAAACTACTTTACTTGAATTTGAGCAAGAACACCTTGACTGAAAAGATTCCCTTCCAAATTGGTAGTCTACACTACCTCCAGAATCTTGATCTTAGCCTTAATTTTCTTACAGGAGAATTACCAGCTGAACTTGGATTTTTAACCAGCCTGGAAACCTTAAATCTTTCTCATAATCAGCTCTCTGGCTATATTCCAATCACCTTTGATGAGATGTCAAGCCTGACAACTGTTGATGTATCCTACAATATGTTGGCAGGTCCTCTCCCCAGCATTAGAGCCTTCAGAAATGCACCAGCAAAAGCACTTGAACATAACCAAGGCTTGTGTGGCAACACAAACACTATTGGGACTTGCTCTTCTATGATCAGAAAATCCAAGGCGAAATACAGAAAAAAGGTTTTGATTTCAATTATAGTCCCTATTTTGGGTACTTTAATCCTTTTGTTCATCATTGCTGGGATCTTGTTTACTCGTTCTCGCGAAGCAAGGAATATGATTGAACCAAGAGAAGAAGAAATGGCGAATTGTTTTGCAATATGGGGTTTTGATGGGAAACTGATGCATGAAAGCCTCATTCAAGCAACAGAGGATTTCAACTCCAAATATTGCATTGGAAGAGGTGGATCTGGAAGTGTTTATATAGCTAAGCTTCCAACAGGACAAGTTTTTGCTGTGAAGAAACTCCATGAATTAGATGATGATGAAGTGGCCAATATGAAATCTTTTAGCAATGAGATCAATGCATTGACAGAAGTGAAGCACCGAAATATTGTGAAACTTTATGGTTTTTGTTCTCATGCTAAATACTCATTTTTGGTTTATGAGTATCTAGAGGGAGGAAGCTTGGCAAAGTTACTTAAAAATGAAGAAAGAGCAAGGGACTTAGACTGGAATAAGAGGATACAAGTTGTAAAAGGTGTGGCGAATGCTTTAACATATATGCATCATGAATGTTTTCCCCCTGTAATTCATCGAGACATATCAAGCAACAATATTTTGTTGGATTCAGAATATGAAGCTAGGGTTTCGGACTTTGGCACTGCTAGGATTTTAAACCCTGATTCATCTAAGTTGACTTCATTTGCAGGCACCTTTGGATATTCTGCTCCAGGTACACTTTCTATCATCATATTTTGCAATTTTATTGTTAAAAAGCTAAACATACTGAAGCATTATTGAGCCTTGTTTTATCAATTATCGGTCAATAGCTTCAATTCAATTTCTAAAACAAAACAATGGTTGCCATTGCAGAACTAGCTTATAGAATGGAAGCAAATGAAAAATGTGATGTTTATAGCTTTGGGGTGTTGACATTGGAATTGATAATGGGAAAGCATCCAGAAGATCTCTTATTGTCTCTATTACTGCCAACATCAATCACCATCCACCGCATTCCACTGAAAAACTTATTGGATAATCGGCTTCCATTTCCGGTAGACCAGGTAGCAGAGGAAGTAGTCTTCATGGTGAAGCTGGCATTTTCCTGCCTTCAAACCAGTCCACAATCTCGACCAACCATGCAACAAGTTTCTCAAAAGCTTTCTGCTCAAAAACCACATTTGTTGGATCCTTTAGACATTATAAAACTAGAAAATGTACTCTGAACTACTTTTGTCTGATACATTAGATAGAAAGTTTCTTATAATGGATTATTGCTGATTATATAACCACAACAAATATGAACTTTAGAACATTCACAATTTGATTCAAATTCCTTTATTTTCATCTAAGCTTAGTCTCAAGTATCTTTCATTAATCCAACTCAAATTAATGCTAAATATTTCTGATTATTGATTTTTTTAACTACTGACATTGAACATTCAGCAGCAATTGCTTGAATTTGCTTTTCAATTGCCGGGCATTGTTTGATGCAACGTAGGGGCATTGTTTGAATTTGCTTTTCAATTTCTGTTGCCTTAAAGACTCAGTCTCATAAATATGTGGCCTAATTATATCTTAAATTCTTGAATTTGGACATGACAATAATTTCCATTTTTCAATCAGAGCTAACATTTGACTAATAATAGTTTTAAGAAAAGTATTGCTCAACTGGTGCAAGTGGATCTCTTATTCTATTTTATTGTAGTGAAATCTTCAAACCATTTTTTAAGTCTTTAATGCGGAAACCCTTTAATTATCAATGTGAAAAATATGAAGCTGAGTTATACATTTTCTTGAACGTATACATTTTATATTCATAATAAATTTTTTTTCTTATTCTCCTATTGTAGCTTTTTTTATATGTAAAAAATTAGTAAAATATTTTTTCCCTCGATTTCGATTAAAATTTGGTCTCCTTAAAGAAGTCCAAAGCTACAGGGAATTCCAAACCGCCTTTGATATTTCACTTGTTCATTATATATAATCAATGATTAAATTTCAATTCGTCCATGAATCCAAAATATCTGTTCCGAGGTGCAACTAAGCCCTGCCTTTAGCTTCCAAATGGTAGAAGAAGAAACCAAATCCAACAAAAGAAAACATGACATTGATGCCAAAACCAAACGTTGTCCCTCAAGATATCGTAGAGGAGATACTCTCACGATTGCCTGTCAAGTCTGTGCTAAGATTCAAGTGTGTTTCCAAGTCATGGAACTCTTTGATCTCTAGTACTCCTTCATTCGTTAGACTGCACTTGGAACGAGCAATTTCGCCACCCAATATCCTCACATCAATACCGTCTGGCCTGAACTTGTTAGACTACGATCCATCTTTTTGTAAGGCAGTCCACCTAGATTTTCCGCCAAAAAGACAGGATAATCGAGTCAGGATCATAGAATCATGCCATGGCTTGGTAGCTGTAGATTGAGAGGACTAAGAATTTTTTTCTTATGGAACCCAGCGACCGGGGACTATAAGAAGTTGCCAAATCCTCGTTTTCCATCAACCATAGACATCAACAAGTACTTGGATAATGGTTTTGTTTCAGCAAATGAAGATTTTTTTTTTTATGCTTTCGGTTATGACTCATCCACCGACGATTACAAGGTGTTTTTCAGTGTTTAGAAATCATGGTGGCGTCCTCCAATAACAAATACATTTTGCAAGAAGACGATAGTTGCCATTTTTTCACCAAGAAAAGGTTATTGGAGAATGATTCATTCACCCCCTACCAACCCTTTGTTTTTCCCTCAGCAAAATCTTTCAGGGTCTTTTGTCGATGGAGCTCTACATTGGCTATCAGGGTAAAGAAAGACAGAAGAAATCCTTGCTTTCGATTTACAGACTGAGAGATTTAGCAGAGTGCCAGTGACTAATTAAAAAGAAAATCCTTTGGTCATTATCTTAAACATGGGGATTCTGGGTGGAAAACTGTGCTCAACATTGTATAATTTTAAATTTTACTTCAACCAACCTACCTATTTCCAGCCTGTTGTATAATTTTAAATTTTACTTCAATGAACCTCCCTATTTCCACCCTGTTGAGATATGGTAAATGAAAGAGTATGGTGTGAAGGAATCCTGGACCAAATTGCTGACTGCTGTAGACAGGTCCAAGTTTTTTCATTTGCCATTATGCATTTCACAAGGCAATGAAGCTATAGCAATCAATGAGCAAAAGGACTTGATACGGTCTGATGCTGAAGAATCAATATCTGAGAAATTTAGGATTTGCAAATGTGGTTCTGATGGTTTAAACATTCTTCAAAGTCTGAGCATCGATGTCAAGCCATTGTACATGCAAAGACACTACTTTCGCCTAATTTCATTGTTCAAGATGAACAGCAAAACCAATGCAGAATCAGAAAAAGGAAGAATATCGCCTAATTTCATTGATCAATATGAACAGCAAAACCAATACAGAATCAGAAAAAGGAAGAATATGTTATGAGGTAGTTATCCTTAAATCTCCTTATTAGGATGAAGATAATTTCTTTTGGTGATCTGTGTCACATCTTTCTTCTGATTATCTGTTTTCATCAGAATAAGGATTATGTTTCTTAACCTAATGTAATGCGTGTAAAACACAAAACACTTTTTTTTTCCATGTCACTTTTGTTTTTTGTTTTGTTTTCATGTTGCCACGTGTTCAAAATTGCCAGGGGCCTTAAAGAAGCAATTCCACTCTGTATTGATTTGGTATGGCCCTTGATATGATTTTTACCGGCCAATTTTGAGCTGTTTAATTTCTATTCAGTACAAATTTGAGAAGACACATTGTTTCTATTCTTATCGATAAATCAGCCATACATTTGCGATTTATTTGTAAAAAAATTTCTGTATATATACACTAACCTTATATCTAATTACTACTTTCTCTATGATCTTTGAGCAAGTTCCTATATTTCATAACTTGTAAAACCATTGCTACAAAGTGAATAAGCAAGAAAGTTCCTATACCTCAAGTTGTGCAACAAAGTCTGCAGGAAAAGATTCATACTGTCTTACTCGCAGGTTATCTACAATTGTACTAATCATTGTGCAGGGTCCATGCCCAAAATTTTCAAATCCAGTACAAAAAACTATCTAAAATACCTTCCTATTACCCTTGTAATCTTTCTTAGTATCGAATTATACATTCAAATTGATTTCTAATAAAAAAATTTTCTTGGTACTCTTGTTGTTGCAGATAAGAAGCAGCAGCAGGCAATGTGAATTACTGCTACCAAAAGTGCATCAAGAAATTTTAAGCTGCAGTAATTTGCTCTATTAGATTTCCTATAATGTCTGAAATTTGTAGCAAAATAAAATAATCCTGAGATTGATCTTCTCATTGGTTTATTGACTATTTCCACCAATCAGTAAAATATATGAGATTAATAATGTTCATTGACAAGTGAGTACATCAGCCAGGACTAATGGATTTATCTTGATTTTTATCTGTTATCTACAGCAGTTTTGATTTTCTCTTGAAGCCTTAAAGCTCCATTGAGGTTGTTACTAACTTTAAGAGATCTTTCAATTCGTGCGTGAAAGCTGCCATTAATCTGAGAAATGTGGATTGACAGGTCTACGGCATTCCCTTAACAGAAGGGATCACAAAACAAATGACCTGCTAAGCTAAACCATTCTAAAACTTAGAAAAATTAAAAATTAAAAAACCCTTAGCTTAGCTTAATTGATTCATGCAATCACTTTAAGAGGTGTCATCCATCAAGTCTGGGTTTAAATTCCAACAACTACAATCTCTTTCCCTATACATAGGTTGCGGCCTCTTTTATTAAGAAAAAAAAAAAAAAAAAAGCTTAAACATCTGCATTGAATGACTGTATCAGATTCCTATTCGTAACGGATCCGAGCCTATAAACTAGTTTTGATTGTGTTTAGCTTCCCAAACAGAGAAAAAAAATTGTGAACGCTGAGAATAAGAGAAAAACAACAATAATGAAAACAATTAGTTTGAAGAAGCGATTAATTGTGTTAACCAAGGCAGTCTCCATTATGTTTCTGCTCATTGCTGTCCAAGCTCAAGATATCTTCCCCCCTAATGACTTTCCTATGGTTCCTGATGCTCCTGAAGGACCCATTTTGCATCTGGATACAGAATCTCATCCTGAAACGCTTTTACCAACTTCAGAAACTTATGTTAAATGTTATATCTCAGAAACTAATGTTGTATGTAATTGTTATCATTCAGACGGTTCTGTTGAATGTTATAGAACAACTCTGCCTTCACCTTTGGATACCTCATCAGAACCAGATGATGAACATTTGCTCGTAAAAGCCCGGCGGCCTCCGAAAGTTCCTTCTTCTCCTAAAAGTCCTTTGAACAATCCTTGGTAAAGAAAGGCTCTATCCTTGGTAATTTGTGCAACAAAATCTGTAAGCAAAAATGCTTGCTTTCCTACTCTTATCACTCCATCTACATTTGCACTCACCATTGTGCAAGGTTGATGCTCCATGGTTCCAAATCTGGTATATGAACCTTCCCTTCACTGATCTCCATCATTGCAAAATTTTCATTTTTTTTTTTTCATTTTAATGTCTGCAAAACTTTTTTTATGTGATGTTAATCCTGCTTTTGCAGATAAAGAAGAAAGCAGCAAGCTATGTGAAAGACTGCTACAAAAAGTGCAGCAGGAAATCCTAGTTTACCATATATAATTTGCTCCTATTTTCATGTGATGGAAAAATGCTTTTGGCTTTATGTGAGAATAAAAGATCAATGAGATTGATCTTAACTTGATGTTAATTTCAGACTTATGATCTGTTACTTTTAAAAAACTTTGACTTCATCTAAATTATATTAAACGTCTCTAGTTAGAGAGTCTACCATGAATATTTGCATCCAAAGACACTCCTCAAAGAAGCAAAAACGCATCAGTAAGAGGGTTTTTTTTTCCCCCCCTTAAATACGCTGTACGCACCAGTTAGAGTCTTAGGTCTCATGAGCCAATGTTTTTGGACTCCTAATATAGTCAGGAAACTTTGCTAAGTTTTTGTAAGGATTTGGTTTTTACTTAAAAAGATATATTATCTAATTCACTTTTAATAGAGTTTTTAAAATTTACAAGTAAAATTAGCATGGAAGCATATATTTTACTAATTAAAATAAATAAAACATGTGATAATTTTTTAATTTGTGGAATTAAAAAAAATAGTGTTCGATTTTTAAAAACATTTACCATTTTTTATTTTTTTTAAATACTTTTCATTTTTTATT